TATCCATGCATAACTTTTGATTCCCTCCAAAATTTGGAACTAATGTTTACTGTTGACTGGAAGCTTTACTGATGACATAGTTGATTAATACATATTTTGTATGCTGTACGTATTATATACTATATTCTTACACTAAAGAAAATGTTAAGAAAATCATAAGGAAATGAAAATACATTTATATTACTATACATATATTTATTGGAAAAAAGTCACGTATAAGTGAACCCACACAGTTCAAATTCATGTTATTTGATAGCTGTCTGTCTGTATGTGTGTGTGTGTGTGTGTATATAATGAAGCAATAATATTTACATATATAACTATAAAAGTATAATATAAACATGTGTATAATAGTATTTATATATTTCCATGTAAGTATATATACTTACTATACCTAAGTATGTGTATCTCAGTATAATACACATATACATATTATATGTGTATTATATAAATATAATAATGTAATTAAACTATGGCTCTCTTCTTTATGCTTTTACACTTATTTATTCTGTCTAGGCTTCTCTCCCTCTAGTTCTTAATTTTTTCCTCTTCAAGCTCACTTGAAGTTATCATTACCTCCTTCCCTAACACTTTCTCCTCACTCCCTTTATTTGCCACGGGTTGATGAGATACTTTGTAGGCATCCTGGGTGGGACTTGGTACTGGAATCTTACCTCCTGCTTCTTTTTTGCTCTAGGGTTGTGGCCATTAGTATTTGCTAAAAAATGGACAATCAAATGAGAAATTAATGTCAGTTTTATCTCAGGATTTCTGGTAACGAGTCTAAACTGGAAACTATTGTGGAAGTCCTACCTCCATCTCAGAATGAAGGCAGCATGTTATGAAATGGGGAAAGTAACCTGTTTCATTCTAAGCAGACTGGGCCTAGGTGGGAATATGCATGGGAACTGGCAGCTTACAGCCTCCAGAAAGGCAGATTGGGGAAAGTGAGACATATGATAGGCCTTTAGCTATGACTCCGTAGAAGTAGTCTCCAAATTGCTTTGATTGCACTGTCTTATCAGTAAAAAACATATGAACATCTATCACCGGTGTTCGTATATTTATTTCTACATTACTTAAATGTACTGTAATTTGCTATATAAATTATACAATATACAAAAAATTAAAAATTATAAGCACTATTTCAAAAAAATGATTTCCATGTTGTTTCTTAGTGGTATAGAGTTCAATAAGCACTACTATTTTTGAAAAGTGCGATTTAATATCTGTGATGTAGTAATTTGAAGGTCTCATTCTAAGGCAAATTTATTATTTCAGCATATGGTTTTTAATGCCATTGTATTTGAAAAAGATACTTTCAGTATTTGAAATTTCAAATGGAAGAGGTGCACCCTGGTTGCGCTTAGTAAAACCACATTTCTCATTTCTATTCTACTTTGCAAAGTTTTTAGTCCAGATTTTATCAGTAAGATTTCATCTTTTCTAAGTAATTAGTTCTGGCAAACTAATTGGAAGGTGTTGCATATTTTTATCTTTGAAAGGAAAAATGGTCTCCTAATCTGCTGAAACCCTTCCTTTGTGAGATTTTTAAACAGATGAGGAAATGGTTTCTAAGTTGTTAAAGTGTGATACCCCAAGCTTGTAGGTGATCATAGCACATTTGCACACACAGAAAATAACATTGGATGAAAATATTTCTAGTAGTTTTCAAAATATTCTTATCTTAACATGAGTTCATTTCAAAAAAGTTATTTTTACACTCATTATAATGTCACTACTTTACTCTGAAAAGACAGATTAAGAAATATCTATTTTAGCTGGAGGGGATTATACTAAGTGAAGTTAAGTCAAGCAGAGAAAGACAGTTATCTTATGGTTTCAGTCATATGTGTAACATAAGCAATAGCACGGAGGACCATAGGGGAAGGGAGGGAAAACTGAAGGGGGAGAACTCAGAGAGGGAATTAAATGGTGAGAGACTCTGGACCGCAGAAAACAAACTGAGGGTTTCAGAGGGGTGGGAGGTGGGGGTGGGGATAACAGGGTGATGGGTACTAAGGAGGGCACGTGTTGTGATAAGCACGGGGTGTTATATCTAACTTATGAATCACCCAACACTACATCAGAAACTAATGGTGTGCTATACAGTGGCCAACTGAATATAATAAAAAGATAGTTTCATAGTAGCCAAAAATAAAAGAAATATTCATTTTAAAATATTTGTTAGTTTACATACTGCTGATAGTTATTTGTTATCCCAGAAAATGTTAGCAAATTTAGAACACTTGTCTTTTTATAAGACCAAATTACATGGTATATCTTTGTTTGCCAACTTTTAAAAATATTTTGCCAGGAAATTTTTTATGCTCAGTCCTCATCTATTTGTAAAGCACACTGAATATGCTGCTTAAGATAGTTACTCACCTAACTAGCAAATGCACTACCCTGAACTCATGAAGGTGTGGTGCGACCTTTTTGAGTATAAAACTCACACTTTTCCTCAGAATTTGTCTACCGCTTATAGATAGTTGTATGTGCTCACTTTCTTATTCGTTAGAGAAAATTGTTAAATTCTAATATTTACTTCCACTACTCTAGGGGATAATCCCTGGGCCCTGCTTTGAGTGTCCTTGTTTCAGGCAGACAGAACCACAGAGGGTGAAAAAGAGTCATTGCTCCTGAGTTAGGCGGGGAAAAGAAGATTTAAAAAATATTATTTAGATGGGGCACCTGGGTGGCTCAGTGGATTAGGCCGCTGCCTTCGGCTCGGGTCATGATCTCGGGGTCCTGGGATCGAGTCCCGCGTCGGGCTCCCTGCTCGGCGGGGTGCCTGCTTCCCTCTCTTTCTCTCTCTGCCTGCCTCTCCGTCTACTTGTGATCTCTCTCTGTCAAATAAATAAATAAAAATAATAAATAAAATCTTAAAAAAAAAAACAAAAAAAAATATTATTTAGAGTTAATAATTCCAGGTACTTTTAGTTTGCAGAATGAATGGGGAGATCTGAACAATCAAATAAGTTATTCTTTTTCCCATGTAGGAAATCTGGGTTGGATAAAGAAAAAGTAAAGATAAAAGTCTCTTTTTCAGCCATCGTTTATCTGGTAGAGAAACCATAATTTTTTTTTCACCTCTCTGTCTTCAACAACAGACTGAATTTCTCAAGGGCAAGAACACTTCAGGGTGGAACCAGTACAGTGCCCAGCATACAGCTGTGCTGGCACATAGTAAATGTTCATTAAAGTCAGTGAGGTTTCTTTTAGGACTAAGGAAGTAGGAATATACTGGAAAAGCTAAGCGTGTAGGCTAGTGGGTTTCCAAATAAAACTGGAATGGAGGAGAGTAGGTACAAAAGGTCATTGGGGGAAGAAGTGCAGAACAACGTAAGCGAATATATAGACTTTTAATTAAAAGACGTGCCATGTGGTACTTTTATTCGGAGTGGAGCCAAAAGTGACAGAGATGAAAGGCATAGTGGAATTAACTGAAGTAAAAATTCTCTGCAGGTTCAGGAGAAATTCTAGGTGGTATAAGTAGGCCTTATGAGACCGGTCTTTAGAACTCTTGTTCAAGATTCTAACAGAATTTTGGCGAAGAGTTGTTTTGCTCATGCTGCCGCTGAAGAAAACTCTGCTCAGGTAAGGAAAGTAAAGTAAAAAGGTAGTGACCTGAGGGTGGGGCTGGTATTTTTGCCACATAGCTAAGGATAAATCAAGCACGAGTGTTCCAAAAGATTTTCCCCCAATTATTTTGTATTTGTTAAAATGCACATTCAAAGTAGACTTCATAATAAGGTTATCATAACATTAGAAAGCATGAGGGTCCACACTGAATACACATATAATATACCACAGTTTGGTGTTTTTGTGACAATACAGTAATTGTCACTCAGTTACCTTAAACTACACATTGTACAAATATATAAAAATATGTATAAGACCCATTAAGCCAATAAGATGCAGCAGCACTAGCAAAATGACCCAACATATATACAATTTTTTTCAGTAAACTACAGTGTTTGTTATATACTTGGAAGCAAAAATTTTTAACATAATTGAGGATTTATTATATATGTTAACAATGGAACAGTTGATTCTTGCAAAGACACAAAACAACAGATTCCTGGGAAGTTAACATTTATAAGTCAGGCCATGTTGATTCAAGTTAGCAAAGGTTGGGGCTAAATACAATTCTTCTTTTCAAGCTAGATTTGCCATAGGTGTTTTCCATATTCCCCTCACCTCTGCCCTCCATTACCTTCCTTCTCCTTCCCTTTACAATCTATAGTAAAGTGTCTTGTAATTTTTAAAAGCTAACCATCGTATGTAGTGACCAGAGCCCTTAAGAACAAAGTTAAAGACCAACTCACAAATACCTGTTAGTGAAGTTACTCCGGGAGAAATGACACAACTCAAAACCAAAAGCCATTTGTCCATTGCTCCATTCCCTTTTACCTACTATTCCAAAGTATTAAATCGCAGTTCCTTCCAAGGCTAATCAACTGAACGAATATTGGAATAACTTGCGAGCAGGATCACTGCCATCTGTGGAATATAGTTTTTAGTCCATGCCAGGTTAAGATTAAAATGTGGTAATGGTGGTCATTTTTTTTAAAGATTTTTATTTATTTATTTGACAGACAGAGATCACAAGTAGGCAGAGAGGCAGGCAGAGAGAGAGGAGGAAGCAGGCTCCCTGTGGAGCAGAGAGCCCAATGCGGGGCTTGATCCCAAGACCCTGGGATCATGATGGTGGTCATTTTTAGTTAGCAAGCAGAGCTCATTATTCATGGTACTATGCCCTTCTCTCCTCTCTCATGATTCCCTGAATGATTTTATATTTAATTGTTTACATTTTGTTTCTCTGCTAACTTATTAATAAACTTATTGAGGGTAGGGATGAGATTTCTACTCATACTAATATCCTACTGCCTAGAATAATACCCGTTACTTAGTGGATACTCATATTTGTTGAAATGAACTTTTATCTATTTCTTCTTTGCCTTCTAAAGTCTAATGTTAATTTATTTACATCGTAGATGCTGAGAATAACTCTCAAAGGGTCTGAAATTAAAGAACCAGAAATAACACCTGAAGTTCCAACTTTGATACCATTTGGGGATGTGGTATGTGAAACTTGCCTCCACAAACTTGTACAAGTTATTTCTTATTTTATGCGAAGACTAGTTATTATTATTTGATAATCAACAAGTATATATAGAAAATGATTCTCTCTGATAACATTTGTGAATTGTTCATTTTTTCATCAAGTCAGAAAAGCATTCTGTAATCAGTGAAATTAAGGAAGACATTTTGATTCACAGGGAAAAAATTGTTTCTATATAGGGGTTCCCAAAGTCTCACTACATCAGAATCATCTGGGATACATTTTAAAATCATTGATTCTCAGTCCCCACCTAAGATCTGCTAACTTGGAATCTGGGCATGGGGCCGAAGATTCAGTATTTTTATGTGCTGGTCAGGTGACTATATTTATTGTCAGATTTTGGAGGCTTTGAGCTATGATTTAAAAATTGACCCCACATCTTTCCTTCAAGTCCCAGGTACAAAAACAGACATACTCATGAATCAGACACATACACCCAAACACACAGGTAGGACCAACTGAGAACTAGGCTGAGAACCAGAAAAATCTCTGTTTTTCTTTTGGGTGCTACGGAGTATGGGACATGAGGATCTGTGTACATTGAGAATTATTAAATGCTGTGGTATTCTTTTACAGTTATCTTTCTTCCTGAGCATCATTAGAACAGTTAATGGGTATGAAGAGAGAGAGTTTCCCCTTGGCCTTCTTCTCTAGATCCTATCATATACTATACATTTTCTTGACTTCAAAATATATGATGAATTTAACACCATGATTTTTGGGGGGAAAAGTAAAACTGTATTCATGCATATGTTTTGTTTTTACAAAACAAGCACAGTGTGCATTTATCCACGTAATTATATAGTGATGTATGAAACATCACGGTCAAAGTCACTGTTTGAATCTAAAATTAGAAAAAGATTCCAGGCTGCCTGGGTAGCCCAGTCGGTTAAGCTTCTGCCTTCTGCTCAGGTCATGATCCCAGCATCCTGGAATGGAATCCCGCATCGGGCTCTCTGTTCAGCGGGGAGCCTGCTTCTCTCTCCGCCTCTGCCTGCCACTCTGCCTGCTTGTGTGTGCTCCCTCTCTCTCTCTCTCTGATAAATAAATAAATAAATAAATAAATAAATAAAATCTTTAAAAAAAAGAAAAAGAAGTCACTTGAAATCACTTTTGGCTGTAAGCTATTATGCATGCCGCTGTGTTGACAGACTGCTCTCCATCACCAGTGCTCCTGAGGGTGGCGCCTTCCTTCCTTCAGAGCTGATACTTTGATTTCATTCACACTTTCTGACTTCATAGTTTATATTTTCCTTAGTTGAATTACATATCGCTAGACATTAACAACCTCCTTTTAAAAGTCAGCTGGAAGTTTTTGACAGGCGTTTGACATGTGATAGCTCCTCTCAGCATACGATTTGTCACACGACTTTCTCTCTGAAAGTTCTGTGATTTGTTCTGAGGTATTTGGCAAGGCTTGTATGTGTGTCTGCGATGACAGCTACATCACAACCCACTGTTCCTCTTTCTGATAGAGCCCTTTTTCAGAAAACATGTGAAAAATCCTGTCTTCAAATTGGCTGCCGAAAGTGCTTTTGCGAACACCTTTCTAGTTAATTTCCTATTGTACATGCATGTCGGGGGTTGGTGACACGGTTATAGCTTTGGGCCACAGATGGGTCTCAGAGTCAGTGGCAACATTTGTCACCCATAGCCTGGGAATGGTCATCATTATCTTTTTAAGTGTTAAATATTTTTCTGTATTTGAAAAACCTTGAGAGACTCTTAACTCCAGGAAACGAAGTGAGGGTTGCTGGAAGGGAGGTGGGTGGGGAGATGGAGTAACTGGGTGATGGATGTTAAGAAGGGTACATGATGGGATGAGCACTGGCTGTTAAATGCCACTGTTGAGTCACTGAACTCTACCTCTGAAACTAATGATGTGCTCACTATATGTTGGCTAATTGAGTTTAAATTAGAATATATTTGAATAGAAATTTTTCTTTCTTATTTTATATGAATCTATGATATTAAAGTATAAAGAGCTGCTGAAATATAAGGAAAGTTGGGGTAGTTGCCCAAGGCACAGAATGTTAATGTGTAACATTATGCAATATAACCTTGTAGTTATACTTCCGTGTTTTACCCTCCTCACATATAATTCCAGTTTTAAGAGATGATGATTCATGGGATCACCTATGACAGGACCATTTAAAATCCTGCCTAGATCATGTAATATGCATTACACACATTTGCATTTGAAAACTTGGAAACTTCCCTTTAACATAACATTTCGTATCAAAGTTTCTGTAAGAAGTAGACCACAGTACTTTCTTCTTAGGATTTCATCATTCACATGCCATAGTCTTTTAATTAAATACTGGATGCTAATTTCTTTCTTTCTTTCTTTCTTTTTAAGATTTTATTTATTTGACAGAGAGAGACACAGAGAGAGAGGGAACACAAGCAGGGGGAGTGGGAGAGGGAGAAGCAGGCCTCCTGCCGAGCAGGGAGCCCAATGCGGGGCTGGATCCCAGGACCCCAACCATGACCTGAGCTGAAGGCAGACGCTTAACGACTGAGCCACCCAGGAGTTCTGGATGCTAATTTCTTTTTCTGTATTATTTTAAAACCAAATCTTTAAAATTATTTACTTACATTTAAAAATACTATTGGGCCATTTATTTTGCTTCACAGTGTTTAATATAATATTGCTGTTGTTTTTACTTGGTTTTTAAGACCAAACATGGCTAAATATATTTGGGTGATAATGCAAATCAGTATTCAAATATTCCTGTATTCATTTTTTATTTGATTTTATGCTTAAACAGGAGATATAATTTTCTTTATCATTTGGAAATACTTTGTACAAGAGAGAATGAATATTTCACAGTCTTTGGGACATTGTACTGGATGAATGATCCAGTTAAATGAATAGAGTGGTTTTAGGATACTGGATAAAAAAGACCATTTGAACCAAGGCATATTTTTTATTATTATATGCAGGATGCTACACTTTGTCAGTGCTCACCTACTATAAAATAACAGTGATTCAAAGAGTGATGGTTGGATTTAAGTTAATAATGCTTTTTTTTTGTTTTGTTTTGTATTCTTATTCATTTTAGTTTTACTTTGAATAAATCCTGCCTATTTTTCTTCTGTATTTCTGTTTTCTGGTGTTTTCTCTCAAGGAGATATTTCTAATGGGAAACAATATTTTTAAGAAGAGAATTAGCAAAGTGGAGCTTTTAAAAACATATAGTTTGGTATAGAATAAAATGCAAGGAAAGTTAACTTTTAAAAACTCATTGGCTGTGTTTTTACTTTGATTATTTTAGGTTGGCTGCATTGCTATTCATATAAAGAACTGCAGACATTTCACGCCTAAGAGTATCCTTTCTTTTGATTTAAGAGTCGTACCATGATCATATACATCTGTTTCAGTTACATATTGCTGCCTTACAGAACACTGCAAGACTTAGTGGCTTAAACCCTGCATCATTTTATTATCAATCACCGTGTGTATTCGCTAGGTGCCACTTCTCCCCATGATCACAGCAGGCTCTGCGGTCGCCCTGCAGTTCAAACAGGCTAGAATGTCGAAAATGGCTCATTTACATACCTGGTGTTTCAGGGATGATGGCTGGAAGACTGGACTTAGCTGGGAAGCTGAAATGGTTAGAACTTTCTCTCTTGCCATAGAGTCCCAAGGTCTTGTCTTTCCATCATATTTTTTTTTCTGCACTAATTTTGATCTTTTTAAAAAAATATTACATTAGAATAAAAAAAAAATATTTATTTTGATTACTGAAGTTTTGGACGTCCCCTTCAATTTTGGACCGTGGCCGGTGCCTCTCTTATCCTGTCCTAGTCCTAGCCCTGATCGTGTCCAGTGCATATTAAAGTAGTTACAGGACCAGACCAGATTCAAGAGCAGAGGAAAATAAACTCCATTTTTTGATGTGCAAAGTGACAGAAATTTTTCACCCATATGGTGAAAAACCTCAATCACCATATAAGTTAAAGGAAAAATATATATCTTACAAAAAAAAGGAAAAATACATATCTTAGATGATAATGTTAATTATTTCTAAGTAATAATTGTGCTACCTTAAACATTGTTTGAAGGATTTATTCATCTTGATGCCTTTAAATAAACTGATTGCTTATTATCATGGCATAAAACCAGTCTCATTATGAAGATTTGGTGTTTCTTTTTTATATAAAGTGAATTGTTTTTTTAAAAGATTTTATTTATTTTTGCGAGAGAGAGAGATTGAGAGAGAAAGGACACGAGTTGGAGGTTAGGGGCAGAGGGAGAAGCAGACTCCCCACTGAGCAGGGAGCCCGATGCAGGACTCAATCCCAGGACACTGGGATCATGACCTGAACCAAAGGCAAATGCTTAACCAACTGAGCCACCCAGGCGCCTCTCTAAAGTAAATTATTGAAGACAATTCTACATGAAGAGATTTTTGAAGATAATTAGTTAAATCATAAAAACAAAATTGTTTTAATGCATGGAGTGCTATGAAAGATAAAAATATAGTAAACTGAAGTATATAGTGACATGAATAAGAATAGAAAACTACTTGGAGGAGGTTGTGCTGAGTGAAATAAGTCAAGCAGAGAAAGTCAATTATCATATGGTTTTACTTGTGGAACATAAGCAATAACATGGAGGACATTAAGAGAAGGAAAGGAAAAGTAAAGGAGGGGGATATCGGAGTGGGAGATGAACCATGAGAGACTATGGACTCTGAGAGACAAACTGAGGGTTTTAGAGGGGAGGGGGTTGGGGAGATGAGTGGCGTTGGGTATTTAAGAAGGCACAGACTGCATGGAGCACTGGGTGTTATACGTAAACAATGAATCTTGGAACACTGCATCAAAAACTAAGGATGTATAGTATGGTAACTAACACAATTTAAAAAAAAAAGAGAGAGAAAGTTCCGTGCTACACACACACACACACAAAAGAAAACTGCTTTAAATTTTGTCTTAATGTTAAAAATAAGTGACTTTTGAATTTTTGCATTTCTATATAATTATGCTTAGAAAAGTTTTTAACTATATATTGCAAATGTTTAGTCACCTTAAAAATAACATATAGAAGGGCTCCTTGGTGGCTTAGTAGTTAAGCATATGACTCTTGATTTCGGCTCAGGTCATGATCTCAGAGTCTCACACTGGGCAGGAAGTCTGCTTAAGATTCTCTCCCTCCTCCCCTTCTACAATTTCTTTCTTTATTTGATTGATTCTTAAGTTTTGCCTAAATTGTTTAATGGATTAATTTTATACTGTGTTATTGTACAATGACAACAAATTTTTTTTCCTCAATATCTGTGTATTTTCCAGTCCATTTACAACATTTCAATAATTTGTTCATTCGCATCTCTATAAACAACATTGTGAAATGTACAAAAGTATGTAGCTTGGCATCCCAAAATGGTGAAAAGTACACTACAGTTAATTTTGATGACACAAAGTACTTTTCTGTACAGGTAATGTTAAAGTTCTATTCTGGATAAGAATGCATTTTTATAGTTTCAAATAATCTACACTAATTATATCCTTTTCTTAGGGGTAGGAAAGAAACAAATGCAGTGCCTTTTTTGATATTTTACAGGGTTCTATTTCTGTACTATGGGATATATTGTTGTTTTTAAATAAACAACTTAGTAGAAAATGCATAATCCTGATGCTCTTCTTCCCTAAGATCTTACTGTCTGTGGTTCTGAGTGTTCATGAAACATGCATTTTTCTCTATCTTGCTCTCCTCTCCTCTGTCCTCTTCCATCCTGTCTTAGCTTAGGCTGCTATAACACATGACCATAGATATGGGGTGGCTTAAACAACAGACATTCATTTCTCAGCTTTCTGGAGGCTAGAAAGTTCAGGATCAGGGTGCTGGCAGACCTGGTGTCTGGTGAGAGCCTGCTTTCTGAGTTCCTGCTGACCATCTCTTTGAAGAGAGCAAAGAGATCATCTTTCTTGGGTCTCTTCTTGTAAGGGCACTAATCCAACTCATGAGGGCTCTACCCTCATGACCTAACTACCTCCCCAACACCACACCTACAAATAACATCACATTGGGGATTTTGGCTTCAGTGTACGAATTTTGAGGGGATACACATGTTCAGCCCAGAGCATACCCTTTCTCTTTTTTTCATTTCCTCCTCATTTCCCTCTCTCCTTTCTTCTTACATAAAGTCTAATCGTTTTTGCATGGATAGCTTATTTAGTCTTTATAACAACCCCCCCCTATATATATATATATTTTTTTTTTTCTCTTATTATGATCCCCATTCTACCAATGAGGAAAGAATTTTCTTAAGGTCCTAGAACTAGTAAATGGTGGAGCTGGGAATGGAGTCAGTCCGGCTTCAGACTATACTTTATTAAACTTCCTCTCACACTAGAGCTTCCGGTGCTAAGAGTCTGCGTCTCTTTATAGCTAAGCTTCTTAGAATCTTAAATGTGTCTCAGAGTTTTCTTTAAGGGAGCGACACTATTTCATGTAGCTGTAGGATTCATTGATGAGTCCAGTTGTAAGTTCTCATAGTTTTATTATATTGGTTAAATCTTAATGAAATCCTAAAACATTTCCTCAGTGCTCTATGTTTTTTAACCTTCATTTTTAATCTTCAAAACTTTATTTTGCTTTAGTCTTGAGTATAGAATATAGCTCTTCAAGCATAGTTTAAAAAAAACCCGACATAGCTTTGCTAAAGGCGATCTATACTATTTGTTTTACTTTGAAAATAGTTTTCCTGAGCTTGCCAGGTTTTCAAGAATATTGTGGGTATATGTCCAGTTAAATAACACTTGAAATTAATCCTGGAAAATAGTATAAATTAATAGGGTGCTTATCCTTATTAGCATAATCAAAATCTTTTCCCCTATTTTAAGAGGAGCTATTAGTTTGAGCATATTAAGAGGAGAATTTTAATGGAACTCCAAGGGAAAGTTGGGAATAATTTAGTAATAAGGAAACAAATATGAAAAAGCAAAACACATTATTAACTCTAAGGGAAATTAAGAAGTGATAGAGAAAAAGAAATATAGTTGTAATTCTATTGCTAAACTCTGCAAAATAGTTACATACACACAAAACACTAAGTATTGAACTAATAAAAAAAGTATGATCTATATATAACATATTGGAGGAAAGAAAGGAAGAGAATGTTAAAATTGTGGGGACGGGTGTTGAGAATTAATATTTTCCTTCCACAATAAGCAGTTAATTGATAGGATCTAAAACTAAAATATCACTTAATGTAAGCTTGTTACTTAGAAACCAGACAATCACTTTAGAAGCTTGAAAGGTGAAAACTAACCATTAGATGTATATATAACAAAATCTAATTTATGGATGTACTTATTCAGAAATTATATCTGAAATTCAGACTGAAAACGGGATAATTCTTTCCATATGCATCTTATGTCAAGGTTCCCAGGCGTCAAGATGATCAGCGGAATAATATATACTTGGAACTAATGCAATATAGAAGTACAGAAAAATATCCTCTCTTACTAGGGAGTGTTAAGGTACACCTTTATGATGTAATTCAGGTAAGTGTCAAGGTTGTTTTTTTCACCGTGGTATCACATTGTTATTATTTATCTGTATCTGATGGACTCCTTTTGGTTTATTATCTACTTTCAAACTCATATGTCTCGCTCTGGCTATATTAAAAAAAAAAAAAAGAGTTGGCTTGGAACAGCCTAATATTTTTAAAAACTGATTGTGTGGCAGTAGTACAACCTAGGAGACTACATACGCATGTTCTGTTATGTTTTCTGGAGTGTTTCTAAACAGGACTCAAATCACAAACTCTGTCTCTTAATTGACTGCCCAGATTTCAGTTGTTTTTCTCCTTGGCTGGGCGCTTGCCATCTGCCCTGGGCCTGTGCTGTTCAGGGGTCACCAGAAGTTGGGGGCAAGGTTTGTACACAGATTTTGTCGTTCTTTCTCTTTTGCTTTCTCCTGTCTAGGGTTACTCTCTCACTTGCCAGCAGCCATACTGCCCTGGACTCAAAGGAAGAGAACTGATTAGTGAACCAATCTAAACCATCTGAAGGATTTTCAGGAGTATTTGTTAGGATGCAAAAGCAAGGAGGCCTTCAAAGACTAATGGAGTTTTATCAAAGGACACAGGAGCGAGACTTCAAGGGCTCCTGTTGGCCAATTTCAGGATAATTTGAACATCAAAGACATCATTATAAATTCTGGATAAAGAAAAATCCATAAATCTTGGTGATCTTAAGAAAAAAAAGGGCAGAGGAAGAAAAATGGGATTTAAAAACTTAGAAACAGAAGAGTGTCAGTGTGGAAAGAATGATAGAATTACAGATTTACTGTTTTTGCAGTTCTTTATAGTGAATGATGATTAGTTCAATTGAGACTTACCAATGCTACGTAAAATATTCGGTAAAAGGTTATTGGGGAACAAGATATTTTCACACCACTGTAACAGTCTACAGATTAATTTCTGCAAAGGGGAAAAGGTGCCTCTACAGTAGAAGATTTGGTGACCACTTGAACCAAGAGCTTGAATTTAGCATAAGTAACTATAGGCAACTTAACATCACATGCTTCCTGTGGCCATACGATATGAAGTATACAGCATTACCTGTGAATTGTACTCATCAAAAATGTTCATCCCAAATCAAACCAATCAGAATCTAGATCGAATTTCTAGTTTATAGGAACTTAGGGGTAGGGAAAAAGTTAATACCATGATGGTACATGGTAAATACATAATATGGGACATACCAGCTTAGATTCTTTAAAAAGTTAAGGTCGGGGCCCCTGACCCAGGGCAACCCCTGGGTTGCTCAACCATGTAAGTGTCTGGCTTTTGATTTCGGCTCAGGTCATGATCTCAGGGTCGTGGGATTGAGCCCCATCTTGGGCTCTGTGCTCAGTGGGGAGCCTGTTTGAGATTCTCCTTCTCCCTCTGCCCCTCTCCCTGCTCGCATGCTCACTTGCTCTCTTTAAAATAAATAAATAAAATTTTAAATTTGTTGATGGCTATTTGGATCGTTTCTGTTGTTTTTGTTTTTGTTTTTTTTTTTTTTTTTACTGTTATGCTCATTGTTGCTGTGAATTTTCTTGAACCTACCTTCCAGTGCATTTCTGCAAAAAGTCTTCACATTGTGATAAATTGCTGAGTCTCTGTTGAACTTCTACCTCATATGGTAAAGAACCCGTTGTTATTTAATGGACAGAGTCATCAGGGAAAGCAACGTCGGTTATTTATGGATTTCCCCAAAAGTCTTCTGATTTTAGCTGTGGTGTGTTCAAGATACGCTGTCTGTGTGTAATATCTATCAGCATCCTCCTGTAGGCGCTTCTACTGAAAGAACTGTGTCATTTTACTTATTAGAATTTCTCAGTTACCCTCTTTTGGTCAAAAGTCTGATCCCAGAAGTACAAAGCTGATCATAAGGAGTTTGGTATGTCTTTGGTTATTTTTTGCTTTTTGTTTTGTTTTGTTTTATTTTATTTTATTTATTTAGACACACACAGAGAGAGATCACAAGCAGGCAGAGAGAGGGGGGGAAGCAGGCTCCCCGCTGAGCAGAGAGCCCAATGGGGGGCTCGTTCCCAGGACCCTGAGATCATGACCTGAGACGAAGCAGAGGCTTAACCCACTGAGCCACCCAGTCGTCCCAATAATAAATTTTTTGAATCTACTTTGTATCCACTCTATTTAAAGTAGCCTAATGGAGTATAAGTCCCATGGATAAATCTGGCCCACTGTAAATAGACACACGGTCTTAAGAAAAAAAAAAACCAAACTTTTGAGATAATTGTAGATTCACATGCACTTGAAAGAAATAATACAGAGAGATCCTCTGCATTCTTTACTCAGTTTCCCTGGATGGTAACATCTTTCAAAACTTAGGTACTGTATCGCAACCAAGATACATACAGAACGTGCCACCCCCACCAGGATTTCTCATGTTGTTGCCTTTTACAGCTGCATCTCCTTTGCTCCTGCCTCTGCCCCTCCTTAACCCCTGGCAATCACTAATCTGTTCTTCCTTTCTGTAATTCTCTCATTTCCAGGGTGTTACATAAAGGGAATTATGTAGTATGTAATCTTTTCATGTTTTTCTCATTCAGCATGATTTCCAAGGAAGTCATTCAGGTCATTGCGCATATCACTAGTTCATTTCTTTTTTGCTGTTGAGTAGTACCACGGGGTGTGAATGTACCCCAGTTTGTTTGACCATCTGCCCATTGGAGAACATCTGGGTTTCCAGTCTGGGGCAGATCTGACTGAAGTTGCTATCAGCATTCATGTACAAGTGTTTGTTTCTCAGATAAATTTCTGGTTTGTAAGATATTTGCATGTATAGTTATTAAAGGAAATGCCGAAGTGTTTTCCAGAGTGACTAAGCCATTGCACATCTTCCCCAGACATGACCGATCCAGTGTCCCGGCATCCTCTTCGGCATTTGGTGTTGCCACCATTCTATACTTTAGCCATTCGGATAGGTTTGTAGTCAGATCTCATCGTGCTATTAATTTGTACTTCCCTAATAGCCAATAATGTTGAACATCTTTTCATGAAGGCCTCTTAATTTATTAATGATTCTACTTTTCCTGAAGTGTTTGCCTGGGGACAGCAAGGTACACAGGCTACTGCACAGACCATACCGCATAGGGCAGTAAAAGGTCAAGGAAAATATTATAACCTAGAATGATTCTAGACCACAAACTCATGCTTATCTGTCTTGTCTCAAAAGCTTGAGTTGTATCATTTGCTCTTTGGATCACATGCAAGAGTAGATTATATTTTAATTCTAGAACTACTAGCTAGGGTAGAATTCCTTGTGCAGACTGGTCAAATGTAGTACTCAGATGAATTGGGAAGACCTGATGACTGGACCCAAAGTATAGATCGTGTTTGGAAGCATGGGAAAGCCATTTGAGTGCACAGTTATTTCATGAGTATACATGAAGAGGACACAGTGTGTTGTTATGATTACCAATTAGTGTCAGTGACTTTCTGAATATAATTGGCCTGATTGGGGAGGATGAAGACCTTGAGATGAATTTTTAAAAATCACAATTTTTTCTTGCAAAGCTCTGTAAAAAATAATTGGTCTGTAGCTTGTGCCAAGAATCCCTTATTTCTTCTTATCCCTGAAATGTCTTGGATTTCTTTGAGGCCCTGGGAGAAACCAGAAAACACTAGCTAATTGTTAAGGCTTAGTGTCCAGTTAAAGCATATAAGTATATTGGAGTTTATAATATTCGTGTATAGATTATAACAGGAGTAAGATTATTAATTTGGGGATGAACTGTAGTACTACTTGTGGTTATTATTTTAGCTATATGATCCTTACCAAATAAGCCTAGGACTAAATGATAAATCCAACAGTTAGAAAGATTGGTAGCCACTGTAATTATTTGAGAAGGGAAAATTCAAAGGTGTAGAATATTATTAGAGTAGTGCCTCCTACAGAATCATACTTCCCTCTACCCGTACCTCTGAGCAGTACAGCATCACCCCTCTGCCCTTCTTGGACTAGGCTTAGACATGTAACTTGCTTTGGGCGGAGCAAAGCCAGATCAGGAGAGGTTGCCAAATAGCTTATTGCCACACACTGAAACTCACCAGAGGAGCTGAGTGAAGGCAAGCCTAAAACTCAGTGGATTCAGACGAAATGCACATTCGGGATGAATATTTTAATTGGCTCCAACGAAGACTTAATTGGGCAGATCTCAGTGAGACCGACAGACAAAACTCAAAGACATTTACCGCAGTTGAAAGGATGATTAAAAGTTTACTGTACATCTGAAGGAGATGAATCCATTGATAGGTCAAGCTCTCTGATCAGAAGCAGAGGCACAGTTTATGAAGGAGAAGAAAAAGGCAGTCTTGAAACAGTGAGATATTCCCCTCCTTCCCACTTTGGGAAAAGGGACACTGTCAAGAGAAAGAAGCTATAAAGAGCAGATTGACAGGATTGTTAAGGAAATCAATTGCAGTTATTTATGAATTTTTGGAGAAATCTTCTGTTTTTATGTGAAGAAAACATATATGCTAATTCTGTGTGATGTCTGCCATTGCATGACTAGCTGTTATGTCCTTCATTATATAGCTTCACCAGGAACTGAGAGGGCAGGTGTGAAATAGGTTCTGCAGGGGCGAGTGGGTGACTCAGTCGGTTAAGTGTCTGCCTTCAGCTCAGGTCATGGTCCCAAGATCCTGGGATCGAGCCTCTAATGGGGCTCCCTGTTCAGCGGGGAGCCTGCTTCTCCCTCTCCCCTTTGCCGGCAGCTCCCCTTGTTTGTACTCTCTCTTGAGCATGGACACGCGCATGTGCGCTCTCTCTCTCTCTCTCTCTCTCAAATAAAATCTTTATAAATGAATAAGTTCTGCAGATTGCTAGGTTTTGGGGGTGGAGAGGATGTGTGAGCCAGGTGTTGAGGTTTTCACTAAATGAGAATTAGTGACCAGAATGTCAGAAACACATGCCAGACAATATGAAGCTTAAAAATGGAAGACTGTTAATGTCCGTGTGAACTAGTATGATCTGGAAGCAGTAGAAGGGGAGCATGGGGGATGCTATGCCATCTCTTGGCCTTGGGGAGTGTGGGCCTTCACTTGAGGCATCTGTGAGGGAAGCACCATCTTTCGTGGAAGCCAAGTCTGAGGTAAAGCAAAGAGGGCATGTTGGGTGGAGGAGTCAAGGACGTAAGGTTGTTTGTTAACCATGGAATGGGGAGTCCATGAATTGCAGTGGAAAACACTGGGAAGAAAGGGAACTGTGGGATGGTGGATTAGATGGGAGGACTGATAGGATAGCAGAGATGACCAGAGGTGGGGACCAAGGATACCCAAGGTTTACCTGGTTACAAAGATCCCAGCAGTCCCCAAGGGATGAGAGAGGCCCTCGGTTCTGTCACGAGTCAGTTATTCATACATGTTTGTTAAAAAAAAAAAAAACCCACCAAAGGAGTGCAGGGATGGCACTTCCCTTAAGACTTAGAGAAGGGGAAACTACGACTAGCAGGAACGTTTTTGTCTAAAACATAAATGTAAATATTAGCATTTGGTTTTGGCGCAGCCTAGAATTTTTATTTTCTTCCAAACATTCGTTACGGTTGTATTTTAGCTATTAAGTTAACATGTGCATTAAAAATCATTACCTGATTTTTCAAAATTTGTGAAATGTTTTAGATTATATACAGATGGCTACATGAGTGACTCTGTATTTGAGGATTTTATTGTTCTTTCCCTTTTTCTTTTTTCCAGAAAGGGTGCTTTATTGAAGAATTTGAAATGTTGCATAAAAACATGGTAAGAACTTTACTGAAATTTCCAAAGTTTTGTGCATACACTTAACATTTCATACAACTTGACTCTGATACTGTTTTAACTCCTGGTACTGTTTTTATGCTCCGTTACCCTACCAATCACTGTTTGAATTAATGGAAATATATTAAACAGAAAGAACAATATTCACAAAATCTTCATCTTCACCTTTTTTTTTAATGATGCTACTTTACTGCTAAATGATGAACAGGAAAATTGAAATAATTGCATTAGAGAGCAAAATGCCCTATCTGCTTCTTTGTGCAGCTTTAATTGAGGAAATATTTTCTCCTTGAGGAGATTTTAAAGAGTTGTTTACAGTTCTCACTTGAATTTCTTTTTAAATACTTAAAATTATTATTTTGATTAATTGATCTATTCAGAGAGAACTCTGCTGCCAATAGCCAGAACAGAGAATGATGAACATTTGGGGTCATAATCTCTGACACCGTCTTTCATTTCACATTTGAGCAAGCTGGGGTTCAGAGATTTGAAATCACTTGTCCAGATGAAAATTTCATCTGAAAATGGAAGTGGAGGTAGGAAGTAAATGGAAGTGTGAGTAAATAAAAGCATATGCATGTGTGTGTACACACACACACACACACACACACACGTATATGTATCTCAGGGTGATCCTATTAATTATAAACTGATGTTTTCTATATTATAATCATATATTCTATAACATAAAGTTTTTTAACCCTTCAGGAACTCTATAGATTCTTCTCTAGTATTTCCTTGTGTGAATTTTTTTTTTAACCAGGAGATTCACACTTTGGTTTTTCTAACATAGATTTGTGAAATAGAAATATTACTTGCTACCCCTTTTTCATTAAAATATCTTTCTGATAAAATAATAAAATAAATGTGCTGTGTGTTTAGCCTATCTGCAAGGTGGCGGTGGAATTTATGTTCTCCTATGGAAACTTTGGTTATGGATTTTCACATCAGGTTAGTTCTTCTTTTTTATTCTATAACACTGAAGTTAAAACCTCTTCTGAGCCTCTTTGCTTTCCAGTTTGATAAAAATTTTTAAAATATATATTTTTTAAAAGAATATTTTTAAAGAATGCTATTTTCTCCATCGTACTTAAGGAAAAATGAAACTACTGTTTTTTATTTGCATATACATTTTAAAATAATCTTTAATTCAAAATGCATTTATCAGAAAACTTGCTTTTGTGTGTCTGTGTTTTCATGTGTGAAAACAAAATTATTTTAAGTATATAAGGAGTGTGGATTTTTATATATAAAAATGCTTATTAAAAATGGAGTAATTGATTATATTTGCATGACATTTTTTATTCTGATCACATATGCTCCTTACCCCCATGGTATTTCAGTGCCCGGTGTTACTTGAGGCCTCCTTGATTTATCAAGAGAGTAATATGTTCAAAGAAGTTATCTTCCTTGCTTTGTCCTGGACCTTTAAATTTATTACATATATCCATGTTCCTGTGAAAATTTTTGTGTAGTAAGCTGTGTCCTGTCCTTTTATTATGTGCCTAAGCTAGATTCCTAGAATGGAAATTATTGTCCAAAAACAATGACCTTGTCAAAGAATTGTTCTAGAAATGGTGTACCAACATATATTCTCACCAGGTGTTTGAAAGAACTCTTCATATTCCCAGGTATTATCACCACTTTGGGGCATTTATAAATCCAAGCACATTAGTGCTGCTATAATACAGGGACTGTGACCCTTATACTTTGCATATGCTCTTTCTTTTCCATCTTTGGCTATTTTTTTATAGTCTTGGTTGTTCTTTTAATTAGGAATTCAGAGTGGTACGTTACTTTTATTAAACCTACTGTTATGTTAACCGAGCAGCCCTGGTAAAATGTTATTCTAAAATTTTGCCTATGGTATATCATAATGATTTTTAATGCATTTCAAATCAGAAATAAATAATACACAGAAGAAAGCCACTAGGCACAATTTTTTTTCATCTTTTTTCCTTCTTTGCTTTGATTTTTCTTTCTTTTCCTTCTGCCTATTTTATTTATATTTGTATGAATTGGGCCTTATAGGGTCTTGTAACTGTTGAGTTCCTTTCGTGACATAGTTTATAAGTACCAACTTCAGAGGTAGGTTTTGTGTCTGAATATAAGTAAAACATGTAATAATCACCTTCTTAGGGAGATGTCTCCTTTTCAGATAAATTAGGAAAGTATTGTTTTATGGAGGTAGATTCTACCAAAAACAAGGAACCAAGATATTGTGTGGAAAAGAGTGGGAAATACAATAAAAGTTCTTGATTTTGATTTTATATCTGTAAACTTTTTGGTAATATAGTCCCCTACTCATCTGTCTTGATAATGTAAAAAGGGTACTACCCTTGGTGGCGGGGGAGCAGATAAAGCTGCATTCAAATCCTGGCTCTGATGTCTTTTGGGTAACCTTGAACAAATTACTGATCCTCAGCATTTTCTGTAAAATAGCAACAGTTATCTACATCATAGGATTATTGAGAGAATTAAAAATAATATTACAGATAAAAGGTTCCTGACAGATATCTAGTGCTCAATAAATATTGGTTCTTTCTTCATTTTTTTAATCATTTTTTAAAATTTATTTTCAACTTAACAGTATTCATTGTTTTTGTACCACACCCAGTGCTCCATGCAATCATTAGAGAGGGTTCTTTCTTCATCTTAAGGCCTATTTTGTAGTCCTAGAGGATATAGTATTAGAGTGAACTATAATTGTAACTAAGCCGTGTTATAACACACTTACCATTTTCTTCAGTTAAAACCTCTTCAGAAAATTATCGAGCCATCCATGTTTATGAATATTGCCCCACCTCCAGGAAGAATAGATCCTGTGACGTAAGTGTTTGAAGTCTTATTTGCACAATTGGATTATGTGCCATTTAAAACACTTAATCCATTTTATGGACCATTTTGGTTGTCTTAAGACATAGCCAGAATGGGCTAGACTCTAAGGAAAACAGAGCAGTGAATTGTTATGCTTAATAAGGTGGGAGACATTTTTGGGTTTCTGGGTATAGCCCTGGCGAAAGGACATGAGAAGTTCTGGAGATAAGATAAAGAAGAGAAGAGAGTGCCAGCTTCATGGCTGAAGGAGAGAAGACCGGGTTAGGCTGATAAGGAAAGTTGGCCAGTGAGATATCCTTTTCTAGAAAGAGGTGACGGACTTCTAAGATCAAAGCGTCTAATAGTTGTCAGTTTTCCTCTACAATATAGTAGTGTTACCTCCATTCCACACATTCTAATTGTTTTTTTCCAAATCTTCAGCAAAAAGTTTATGTTCAAAAAATGTCATTAGTGGAGCACCTGGGTGACTCAGTGGGTTAAGCCTCTGCCTTCGGCTCAGGTCATGATCTTAGGGTCCTAGGATCATTCCCCACATCGGGCTCTCTGCTCAGCAGGGAGCCTGCTTCCCCCTCTCAGCCTATCTCTCTGCCTACTTGTGATCTCTCTCTCTCTCTTTGTCAAATTAAAAATCTTTATTAAAAAAGTCATTAGCAAACCAAAAGTAACTTAAAATTTGTCAACCAGACTTCAAATTTCAACAGTAAAAATAGATTGACGAGTGTAATCTATAGTGCTTTCCCAGATTAAGAAATGGGAAAAAAGGGATTGAGGAAATTAGGTATAGGATGGGAATGTATATTCTGAAGTGCTTATTGTCCTATAGTCTCACCAATACTGGGTATTATCATTAAAAATAAATTTTGCCCACTTGATATTGGTCATTTGTTGAAATAGTAAAATTTGAATGTTTTATGTTTATCAATCATTATTTCTTTTTTTTTAAAGATTTTATTTATTTATTTGACAGAGAGAGATCACAAGTAGGCAGAGAGGCAGGCAGAGAGAGAGAGGGAAGCAGGCTCCCTGCTGAGCAGAGAGCCCGATTCGGGACTCCATCCCAGGACCCTGAGATCATGACATGAGCTGAAGGCAGCAGCTTAACCCACTGAGCCACCCAGGCGCCCCAATCATTAATTCTTTATCCACCAATGGATTCAGTAAACATTCGTTGAATGTCTGCTATATCCCCAAGCCATTGCAAATACTAAAATAAATGAGGCCTGGTCCCTGCCCTCTGGTAGCTCATGGTTTAGTGTGCAAAGATAACTTGTGAACAGAAACTATAGCACAAATGAGATGAGAAGCTTCCTGCTGGTAAACGTAAGGAACCCTGGCACATAGGGTGTGGGGTAATGATGGGAGGAACATAAAGTTAGGTCACAGCAAATTTATTGATATGAGCTCACTAAACAGAGATTCTGCATTTAATGTTACAGATTAGGGCATTAGAAAAGACTCAGTCTGGTTCTTTGGTTGCAGAAACATGTACGAAGAGATGCCCACTTGGGTGGATTGGAAATGCCAGAACTACCTTGGCTTAATGTAGAAGGAAGGTATTCAAAGGGTTAAAGAGATGGTGATGTTGGTGAGGATTTGTTTTTAAGACCTACTCACTCATCCAGGGAGATTCCAGAAGATAGACCTTTCACCATGACTGTGAGAACTAAATTTGAAGGGGAGCCCTACCCTTGAAGAGCTCTGTGATCTTCGCTGTTAGGCAGACCTTAGAGTGGAAGCTGCAGTCACTGACCTGAGAAACCCAAATGCGATGGGAGTGTAGCGTCCTGCAGTGTCAGAGCCCAGTGATGGCACCACCACCTAAGGCAAGATGAGTGTGGTTACTGTAGTGGACAGTAAAGTCAAAGCAGCAATCAGAACAGTTTGACTCATGCAGACCTATAGCATTGGCTAGTTGATCATGATGTTCCTAGAAATAAAATATATAGAAAGCCTCCCCAATTCTTTTTTTTTTTTAAGATTTTATTTATTTATTTGACAGATAGAGATTGCAAGTAGGCAGAGAGGCAGGCAGAGAGAGAGGAGGAAGCAGGCTCCCTGCTGAGCAGAGAGCCCGATGTGGGGCTTGATCCCAGAACCCTGGGATCGTGACCTGAGTCGAAGGCAGAGGCTTTAACCCACTGAGCCACCCAGGCGCCAGCCTCCCCAATTCTTAATCTGTATAAGCAGAAAAGTTCTAGGTCAAGTGAATGAAAGTGTGACCTGGATCATAAAAACAGAGTCATAGCTCCTCAGTCAATTCCCAGAGTTGAACCAGTTTCCACACCCAAAAGCCTTTGAATGTAGGGGAGGCTTCGTCCCCTTAAAGAGAGACACTGGTATGCTGACAAAAGTTTATAATGTTAATCTTTCTCTAAGCTTTCCCAAAAGGGAAGGAGAGCCTTTTACCAGGGTAACTATGCATTAGGGAAATGGAAATAATCAGACCTTTCAGAGTCTACTGGACACTGGCTCTAAACTGACACCAGTTCCAGAAGATCCAAATGTTACTTATTTTGGCCTGTGCATAAGACAGATCTTGGAGAGTGATAGTAGATTGTCATAAGCTTAACCAGGCAGTGATTCCAATTGTAGCCACTGTACCAGATGTGGTTTCATTGCTTGAGCAAATTAACACATCCTCTGGTACGTGGTATAAAACTGTTGATCTGGCAAATGCCGTTTTCCCCATATAAAAACCAGAAGTAGATTCTTTCAGCTGGTAAGGCCGAGTGATACACCTTTACTGTCTTATCTCAGGTGTATCAACTTCTCCAGCCTTATGTCATTCATTTAGTTCACAGGAAGCTTTTTTTTTTTTAAAGATTTATTCATTTTAAAGAGAGAGCATGAGTAGGGAGAGGAGCAGTGGAGAGGGAGAGAAAAAGTCCCAAGCAAACTCCACACTGAGCGTAGAACCTGACACAGGGCTGTATCCCAGGAGCCTGAGATCATGACCTGAGCTGAAACCAAGAGCTGGATGCTTAACTGACTGAGCCACTCAGGTGCCCCACAGTTTACAGGAGTCTTGCTTGCCTTTCCCTTATACAAGATATTACACAGGTCCATCACAGTGATGACCATTACGCTTATGGGACCTAGTGAACAGGAAGTAGTAACTAATCTAGACTGTCTGATAGGACATTTGCATGTCAGAGGGTGGAAAGTGTTCTAAAAAAATTCAGGGCTCTTCTACCTCATTGAAATTTTGAAGATTCAGTGGTATGGGGATTGTCAAAATAATTCTGCTAAGGTGAAGGATAAGTTGTTGTATCTGGCCCCTTCTACAGCCAAAACAGAGGCACAACACCAGTTGGGCCTTTTTGGATTTTGGAGACAACATATTCCTTATTTGGGTGTGCTACTCTGGCCCATTTGCCAAGTGACCTGAAAAAAAATTATCTATATAATAAATGTATCTTCTTCCATCTCATATCTCCTTCTCATGTAACATAAGGTTTATTGACTTTATATTGTAATATTTAAGTATTGTTAAATTTATAGCATACTATTTTTTAAGTTTCAGGATATTAAGAAGAGTAAACATCATCCAAAGACTTTTTAAAAATTTTTATTTTGTTTTTTCAGTGTCCCAAGACTTGATAGTCTTTTCTAGGGAAGAGGCTAATGAGGTTTTGGTTGTATGCAGGATAGTTGTATCATGTTAGGTGGAATTATGACCTGTTAATTGTTCTCATTTGGAGATTAAATGTGTTTTAAAGAGATGCTTATGGGGGCCAGGTTGGCAAGGGGTGGGTGGACTTGTGATGATTACTTTCACATGTCAACTTGACTGGGCCATAAAATAGAAATTTGTATCTAAAGATTGGGAGAGAGGTCTGGGCTCAAACACTGTCTACTTCTCTTTAGAATTCCAGGTCCTTATCTCCTTTTTCATCCCTGCTGCTCATCTTAGTAGTAAGAGTATTCAAAGGCGCACTTCTGTCAGGATTTCTGACCTTTGTCTTCTTCCCTAGCTCTACCCTCTGATGGTTCAAGGTAGACAGGTGAACTTACAGTCTAAAAGAGAGAATGATTCAAAAGTGATAGCTACCACTGATTTTAGAAGTGTGGTTTTGTATAATTGCAATATTTAACATTATAAACATTTTGCAGAAATGTTATTACACCACAACCGATAGAGTATCCAGCATTCCTATCCCCAGACCTGAATGTTACTGTTGGGACGCCAGCTGTAGTGCCCAACCAGTCGTCTGTAGTGCGACTTGAAAAACTTCAGCAACAACCTCGGGAAAGGTAAATACATACATACATACATGCATACATACATATATACCAACACAACCCAAACAATCTTCATCTTATTTATGTGTTAGTGGGACATTATTTTTTTTTTGCATGGGGGGGCATATGGGCTTTAGGTATTTGTTTAGAAAAGTCAATGTTTATCGACTCTGTAATGCGTATGGTGGTTCACTTTGTTGTGTCCTATGAGTCCTTCAAGCTATCTTTACTCTATTTCATTTTTTTTTCTTTTTGTTCTTCTGATTAGATAAATTCCTTTGCCATCTCTTTGAGTTTTCCAGTACTTTCTTCCACATCATCTAGTGCTCTTGAGCCCTCTATTGAATTTTTCAGTCCAGTTATTGTGTTCTTTAGCTCTGTGATTTCTATTTGGTACTTTTTTATATTTTATATCTCTTTGTTGCAATTCTCACTTCATTTATGAATTTTTCTCCTGAAAAATGAGCATCATTATGACCATGATTTTGAATTCTTTTTTTGAAAATTATTTATTTATTTGAGAGAGAGAGAGAGAACAGAGTAAGTGAGAACATAAGTGAGTGGGGGCAGAGGGAGAGGGAGAAGCAGACTCCCCATCGAGCAGGGAGCCCCATGCATGACTCAATCCCAGGACCCCAGGATCATGATCTGAGCCAAAGGCAGACACTTAACCTACTGAGACACCCAAGTGCCCCTCATTATATTTCATTACAGCCTGTTTCTAGAGTTTTGTTTTATTTATTTGTTTGGAACTTAATGTTTCTGGAATTTTATGTGGCTGTTCTGTTCTCATTGTTTTCTCTCTTCATTTACCCTCACTCTCTGTGTTGGTTTCTGAGCACTAGATGAAACTGCCACCTTTCCTAGTCTAGATGAAGTTGTCTCATGGTGGGAAATGAGAAGGAAACTTATCAAGGAAACCAGCCCAAGATTTTGGCTGTCTCTCAAACCCTTGTGATTGTCCAAGCAGCTTTCCTTTTTTTCTTAATGGCTTCCAGTTGTTGAGAGTGTGTCAGGATTTGTCAGTATTCCAAAGGGGAAGATCTCCACATCTAGATTCAGGCTGACTGGAAGCTGAACCTCAAGTCACCTGATGGGAAAGTATGTACCTAGAGCTCTTTCTTGGAGAAACCAGGAGAAGGGCTTTCTTGTCTGCTCCCTTTGTGCCCAGCTCCCTTAGGGTGTAGCCACTAGGGTGGAAGTCATTCCTGCACCCATTGAGAACTGCTTCTTTGTGTGCTGAAGTTCCGTGGGACTGTCACCAGTCCAAGCCCCATTGGTTATGATAGCCAAACAATCTAGGGGCCCATCTCCTTGGCAATGGCCACAAAGTCTGGGGTGCCAGATGTCTGTATAAGCTCCTTCCAGGGAGATAATGATGATCTGGATTGGGCTAGAGAGAGGAAGAGATAGTGTCTCCGGGCTTCCACAGGTCTCTAACAAGGATTGCAATCAACCCCTGGATGCATACTCAATTAGAAGCCTGACCTCCAAATAGTAGCTTTTAAATACAGTAGGCCTTTTTGGAGACTAACTGGGAGATGAACTTATTTTTGCACTAATTTCTTCTGTGCTGAGTGCTGAGCAGATAGCGTGGTAAGTCATAGGAGACCTATGAAAAACTTTTTATTTTTTCTGTAGCCTTATGGGTCTTGTGGTCACAACTGTGTTAACTGTGTTAACAGAAATAGGTGTTTGGGGGGGCCTGTCCCTCAGATGGGAGTCTTGAAAGGTGGGGTGCTATGTGTGTTGTCCAACCCTTTTTCTCCTCAGGGAGATGCTGGGAGTTGAGAGTTCTGTCCCGTTTGTATGACACTGTGCCAGCGGTAGAGTTTCTGGTATGTGCCTCATCCTTTCTCAGCTGTTTTGATGTGTGTATTTTCTCATTTGCATGATGTATAGGAGTTGCTCAGCCTATTTCTCGATTTCTTTCAGAGAGAATTGCTCTTTGTAGAACTGTAGGTACCGGGACAACTGGGTGGCTCAGTTGGTTAAGCCGCTGCCTTCAGCTCAGGTCATGATCCCAGCGTCCTGGGATCGAGTCCCACATCGGGCTCCTTGCTCGGCGGGGAGCCTGCTTCTCCCTCTGCCTCTGCTGCCACTCTGCCTGCCTGTTCTCTCTCTCTCTCTCTGGCAAATAAATAAATAAAATCTTTAAAAAAAAAAAAAAAGAACTGTAGGTACCATGCATACATGGGAGGAGGTGAGTTCAGGAGCCTGCTTACCATCTTGAATTAGAAACTGCAAATTTCTTTAATGTCTTGCCTAATAGTATGCAACTGGATCCTCATAACTGCTTCCACATTTAAACACAGTGGCTCCAGCTGCAGAACCTCTGCTTATATGGCTCATAGTGACAGTGACAGCTACTGCTCTCATTTCGCTCCTGTAGCTTCACCAGCTGATCCCTTCTTCTTAGCAAAATGGGTCCCAGTGAGTCATCTTGCCATTGTGTTCACTGACTCTACATGTATTTTTCTTGCATGCTTTCAAAGTCGGGTTGTTATTCTGCTCCTTATTCTCTTCTTCTTATAACTACTCTGGAACTTGGTGCTGATAGTTTTATCTTACTCAGTTTTATGTGGAATTAATTTTCCTGATATTTTTTAATAGGAGATATAGTTTAGAAAGCCTCTTGAGCCTCACAGAACTCCCACTATTAATGTTTTCATTTGGTGTTTAAAAATATGAGTTGCTTTCTAGGATTTTCTGGGACCATGCCAGTCTATGTCTCATGTAAATGGCAAGGGTGGACATCCTTGTTTTTGTTCATGATCTTTAAAGGCTATACTTCTAGCATTTAATAGTTAAGAGCATTTGCTTATATAGGTTTTTTATATATAGATATGCTATACCACGTTAAGTAAATTATTCCACTTTGTTCCAGTTTTCTAAGTTTCTTTAAAACCACAAATGGTTGTTGGATTTTTGCCAAATGTTTTTTCTTCTTTAATCAGTTAAATTGTATTTATGTTTTCTAATTTTAATGTCAAAATATCCTTGTATGCCTGGAATAAATCTAATTTGTTCATAATATATTATCTTTTTTCTATATTACTGGATTTTTTGTATTAAAATTATATTTTTAACATTTGCATCTATGTTAATGAATGAGATTATTTTTATAATGTCCTTATTAGAGTTTATCATCAAGGTAGTAATGTCCTCATGAAATGAATTGGAAAACATTCCCTCTTTTCTATTTAATTCTTGTCAGTTATATCTTAAGATGACCAAAGCCTTTTTTAAAAAAATTTTTATTTATTTTTTAAAGTTCTTTTCAGTGTTCCAGAATTCATTGTTTATGCACCACACCCAGTACTCCATGCAATACATACCTTCCATAATACCCACCACCAGGCTCACCCAACCCACCCCCGCCCCTCCAAAACTCTCAGATTGTTTTTCAGAGTCCAAAGTCTCTCATGGTTCATCTCCCCCTCCAATTTCCCCCAACTCCCTTCTCCTCTCCAGCTCCCCATGTCCTCTGTGTTATTCCTTATGCTCCACAAATAAGCAAAACCATATGATAATTGACTCTCTCTGCTTGACTTATTTCACTCAGCATAATCTCTTCCAGTCCCATCCATGTTGATACAAAAGTTGGGTATTCATCTTTCTGATGGAAGCATAATACTCTGTAGTATATATGGACCACATCTTCCTTATCCATTCGTAGGTTGAAGGGCATCTTAGTATTAGAATTCCCAGCAACAGCAATCAGACAACAAAGAGAAATAAAAGGTATTCAAATTGGCAATGAAGAAGTCAAGCTCTCTCTCTTAGCAGATGACATGATACTTTATATGGAAAACCCAAAAGATTCCACCCCCAAACTACTAGAACTCATTCAGCAATTCAGTAATGTGGCAGGATACAAAATCAATGTACAGAAATCAGTTGCTTTCTTATACACTAACAATGAAAATACAGAAAGGGAAATTAGAGAATCGATTCCATTTACTATAGCACCAAGAACGATAAGATACCTGTGAATAAACCTAACTAAAGAGGTAGAGGATCTGTACTCAAGGAACTACAGAACAGTCATGAAAGAAATTGAAGAAGACACAAAAAGATGGAAGACCATTCCATGCCATTGAATCAGAAAAATAAACACTGTTAAAATGTCTATACTGCCTAGAGCAATCTATACTTTTAATGCCATTCCGATCAAAATTCCACCAGCATTTTTCAAAGAGCTGGAGCAAACAATCCTAAAATTTGTATGGAATCAGGAGAGACCCCATATTGCTAAGGAAATGTTGAAAAAGAAAACAAAACTGGGGGCATCACGTTGCCTGATTACAAGCTTTACTACAAAGCTGTGATCACCAAGACAGCATGGTACTGGCACAAAAACAGACACATAGACCAGTGGAATAGAGTAGAGAGCCCAGATATGCACCCTCAAATCTATGGTCAAATAATCTTTGACAAAGCAGGAAAAAATATACAGTGGAAAAAAGACCGTCTCTTCAATAAATTGTGCTGGGAAAATTGGACAGCTATGTAGAAGAATGAAACTCGACTATTCTCTTATACCATACACAAAGATAAACTCAAAATGGATAAAAGACCTCAATATGAGGCAGGAATCCAACAGAATCCTAGAGAAGAACATAGGCAATAACCTCTTTGACATCGGCCACAGCAACTTCTTTCAAGATACGGCTCCAAAGGCAAAGGAAACAAAAGCGAAAATGAATTTTTGGGACTTCGTCAAGATCAAAAGCTTCTGCACAGCAAAGGAAACAGTCAACAAAACAAAGAGGCAACCCATGGAATGGAAGAAGATATTCACAAATGACAATACAGAAAAAGGGCTGATATCCAGGATCTATAAAGAACTCCTCAAACTCAACACACACAAAACAGATAATCATGTCAAAAAATGGGCAGAAGACATGAACAGACACTTCTCCAATAAAGACATACAAATGGCTAACAGACACATGAAAAAATGCTCGTCATCACTAGCCATCAGGGAGATTCAAATCAAAACCACATTGAGATACCACCTTACATCAGTTAGAATGGCCAAAATTAACAAGACAGTAAACAATGTGTGTTGAAAAGGATGTAGAGAAAGGGGAACCCTCTTAAACTGTTGGTGAGAAGGCAAGTTGGTGCAGCCACTTCGGAAAACTATGTGGAGATTCCTTAAGAAATTAAAAATAGAGTTTTCCTATGACCCTGCAATTGCACTACTGGGTATTTACCCCAAAGATACAGAGGTAGTGAAAAGAAGGGCTATCTGTACTCCAATGTTCATAGCAGCAATGGCCACAGTTGCCAAACTGTGGGAAGAACCAAGATGACCAAAGCCTTTTGAAATTTCTTGGATTAGAAGCTAAATTCCTATTTTTTCTTTTGTTCTGTTGCAGAAAATATCATGTATATATTGAATAATTTATTGTTTGTGTGTGTGTATATACATACACACACACACATATATATATTAAAACTTTAGATAATGAGACCAATATATATATTGAATAACTTCTAAAACTATATATAGTTTAAATAAACATAATAAGACGATGCCTAGATATTTATGATTCGGGTTAAGAAATACAACATTGGGGCACCTGGGTGGCTCGGTTGGTTAAGCTTCTGACTCTTGGTTTTGGCTCAAGTCATCATTTTAAAGTCGTGAGATTGAGCTTTGCAAGGGGCTCCATGCTCAGCATGGAGTCTGCTTGAGATTCTCTCTCCCTGCCTCTCTCCCTCTTACCCTTCCCTCACTTGTATATTCTCTTTCTCAAACAAACAACAAAATCTTTAAAAAAAAAAAAAATGAAAGAAATACAATATCACTATATTGGAGTCCTAGCTATAGCAGTCACACAATGAAAATAAATAAAAGGCATCCACATTGGCAAGGAAGAAGTTAAACTATCACTAGTTGCAGATGACATGACACTTTATATAGAAAATCCAAAAGATTCCACCAAAAATTGTTAGAACTGCTACATGAATTGAGTAAAGTTGCAGGATGCAAAAATCAATATACAGAAATCTGTTGCATTCCATACATCAATAATGAAACAGCAGAAAGAGACATCAAGGAACCAATCCCATTTATAATTGCACCAGAAACCATGAGATACTTAGGAATAAACGTAACCAAAGAGGTAAAAAACCTGTACTCTGAAAACTATAAAACACTGATGAAAGAATATGAAGATGAAACAAAGAAATGGAAAAACACTCCATGCTCATGGATCAGAAGAATGAACATTGTTAAAATATCTATGCTACCCAAAGCAATCTACACATTTAATGCAATCCCTATAAAATACTAAAAGCATTTTTCACAGAGCTAGAACAAACAATCCTCAAATTTGTAAGGAACCACAAAAGACCCCAAATAGCCAAAACAACCTTCAAAAAGAAAAGCAAAGCTGGAAGCATTACAATTCTAGACTTGAAGTTATTTTATAAAGTTGTAGTGATCAAGGCAGTATGGTACTAGCACAAAAACAGATACATAGATTAATGGAAAAATGAACCTACAATTAAATGGTCAATCTTCAACAAAGCAGGAAAGAATATCCAATGGAAAAAAGAATATCCAATGGAAAAAAAGTCTCTTCAACAAGTAGTGTGGGAAAATTGGACAGCAACATGCAAAAGAGTGAAATGGGATCATTTTCTTAAAACTGTACCCAAAAATAAATTTAAAACCGTTTAGAAACCTAAATATAAGACAGGAATCTATTAAAAAAATCCTAGAGGAGAACAGAGGCAGTAACCTCTATTACATTGGTCATACCACCTTCTTATTAGATATGTCTCCTGATGCAAGGAAAACAAAAGCAAAAATAAACAATTGGGACTTCATCAAAATAAAAAATTTCTGTGTAGCGAAGGAAACAGTCAGCCAAACCACAAGGCCATGTACTGAATGGGAGAAGATATTTACAAAGGACGTATATCTGATAAAGGGTTAGTATCCAAAAGTCTATAAAGAACTCATCAAATGCAACACCCCAAAACCAAATAATCCAGTTAGGAAATGGGCGGAACACATGAATTAGATACTCTTCTAAAGAAGACATACAGATGGCTAACAGACACGTGAAAAAATGCTCAACATCACTCATCATCAGGGAAATACAAATCAAAACTACAACGAAATATCACCTCCGTTTGTCAGAATGCCTAAATTTAACAACACAAGAAACAATAGGTGTTAGCAAGGATGTGGAATAAAGGCGAATTTATTCCCCTTTACTAACAGCTTACACTGTTGGTGGGAATGCAAACTGGTACAGCCATCTTGGAAAACTGTATGGAGTTTCCTCAAAAAGTTAAAAGTAGAACTACACTATGATCCAGCAGTTGCACTACTAGGTATTTACCCAAAGATTACAAAAATACTAATTCAAAGGGATACATGCACCTCAATGTTTATAGCAGCATTATTAACAATAGAAATTATGGAAAGAGCCCAAAAGTCCACTGACTGATGAATGGATAAAGAAATCTTGCCATTTGCAACAACATGGATGGAGCTAGAGTAAGCAGAATAAGTCAGTCAGAGAAAGACTGGTATTTACCATGTGATCTTACTCATATGTGGAATTTAAGAAATGATCATGGAGGAATAAAGAGAGACAAAACAAGAAACATCTTCTTAACTATAAAGAACAAACTGATGGTTAGCAGAAGGGAGCTGGTGGTGGGGAAGGGTTAAATAGGTGATGGGAATTAAGGAGCACACCTGTTGCAATGAGCACTGGGTGTTGTATGGAAGTGTTGAACCACTAAACTGTACACCTGAAACTCTTATTACACTGTATCTTAACTGGAATTTAAATAACTTTTAAAAAAAGAAATAGAACATCATCAATAGTAAAAATGTGTTTTGTATGCCCTCGTGAGATTCCATCTTCTCCCCAACCCATCCTTAGGTAACTACAGCTCTGACTTCTGTTGTAATTGTTCCTTTTCCTTTCACTGTATCCTTAAACAAAATATTGCTGGTTTGCCTCTCTAAGAAAAATTTTGTAAGTGGATCATACTGAATGTATTCTCTTGTGAATCATACCATATATGTTCTTCTGTCACATTTTAAATGTATAACTTATTTCTTTAGGCTGGAAAAAATGAAAAAAGAATACAGAAATCTGAATACATGGATAGAAAAAGCTAACTATTTAGAAAGAGTTCTTAACCCAAAAATGGCCCATAAAGAACTTAAGGTAATTAACATAATACATTCTCTACATATAACTTCTAATACTTTTTATTTTAAAAAGATTGTGATAATTAAAAGCAATAAGATATTGCTTATTCTTGATATATAAAATGCTATTCATGGCTCATGTACTTTACTATTTTGGTAATGTGACATTAGATAAATATTGACTAATAATTTGTAAGATTTAATTTTTTAACAGCTTTGTTAAGATGTAATTCACCTATTCAAAGTATACAATTCAGGGGCACCTGGGTGGCTCAGTGGGTTAAAGCCTCTGCCTTCAGCTTGGGTCATGATCTCTGGGTCCTGGGATCGAGCCCCGCATCGAGCTCTCTGCTTGGCAGGGAACTTTCCTCCCCACCCCCTCTGCCTGCTTCTCTGCCTACTTGTGATTTTTGTCTGTCAAATAAATAAATAAAATCTTTAAAAAAAAATCAAAGTATACAATTCAGTGGCCCTTACTATATTCATAGAGTTGTATGTCGATTGCTATGATCAGTTTTCAGATATTCTCATTACCCACAAAAGAAACTCCACACCCCTTAACCAAACCTCCCAGAACTCCTGTTCTCTAGACAATAACCAGTCAACTTTCTGTTTCTATAGATTTGCTTATTCTAAACATTTCATTTGAGTGAAATCATATAATATATGGTTCTTTTGTGACTTGCTTCTTTCACTTAGCATAGTGTTTTCAGGGATTGTCCCCATTGTACCATGTATCAACACTTTGTTTCTTTTTACTGCCAAATAATATTCCACTATATGGATATGTACCACGTTTTGTTTATCCTCATTAGTTGCTGGACATTTGAGTTGTTCGACTTTTTAGCTGTCATGAATAATGCTGCTGTGAACATTCCTGTGCAGGTTTTATGTGAGCATACGTTTGTAATTCTCTTGGGTCTATACTGAGGACTAGGATTGTTGGATCATATAGCAGTTCCCTCTTTAACTTTTTCAGGAACTCCCAAACTGCTTTCTATAGCGGCTGCACAGTTTTACATCTAACTAGCAATGTATGAAGCTTCCGTATATTCTCCAAAACTTGTTATTTTCCTTTTTTGTTTGTTTCAGTTATAGAACTCTTAGTGGGTTTGAAGTGTTACCTCATTGTGGTTTTTTTGCCTGATAACCAATAATATGAACATCTTTTCATGTGCTTACTGACCTTTTGTATATCTTCTTTGGATAAATGTTTATTGAGATCCTCTGTTGATTTTAAATTGGGTTTTTTTATTGTTCAGTTATAGGAGTTCTTTGTATTTGGAGTACTAGACCTTTATCAGATATAAAAGTAAGGTTTAATATTTAGAAATACAGTCTGACCTTTACATTTTGACCTGGCAATAGGGATTCATAGGAGTTTCAGTGAATTAATAAAAATATTACTAAGATTATAGCCTTGAAATGGTAGTCATAGCATACTGATATATTAATGTTTTTCAGTGCCTCATTCTAGTTTGGCATAGTGGTATTACCTTAGGATAAATTAATCAGCACTTATACAGAATTAATATTTTAGGGAAAATTTGAAGGGCTCTTCATTCATTAAAGGAACTATAGACTTTTGGTTTTTTTCTTTTTTCTAATTTTTTTTTTTAGATTTTTTTTAATTTTTTTTTCAGCATAACAGTATTCCTTGTTTTTGCACCACACCCAGTGCTCCATGCAATCCATGCCCTCTCCAATACCCACCACCTGGTTCCCCCAGCCTCCCACCCCCCACTGCTTCAAACCCCTCAATTTTTTAAATTAACATATAATGTATTATTAGCCCCAGGGGTATAGGTCTGTGAATTCATCAGGCTTACACACTTCACAGCACTCACCATAGCACATACCCTCCCCAATGTCCATAACTCAACCAACCTCTCCCTACCCCCCTCCCCCTGGCAACCCTCAGTTTCTTTTGTGAGATTAAGAGTTTCTTATGGTTTATCTCCCTCCCGATCCCATCTTGTTTCATTTTTTCCTCCCCTACCCCTCAAAACCCCCACTCTGCCTCTCAAATTCCTCATATCAGGGAGATCATATGATAATTGTCTTTCTCTGATTGACTTATTTTGCTCAGCGTAACACCCTCTAGTTCCATCCACGTCGTTGCAAATGGCAAGATTCCATTTCTTTTGATGGCTGCATAGTATTCCATTGTGTGTTTGTGTGTGTGTGTGTGTGTGTGTGTGTGTGTGTGTGTGTGTGTGTGCATACATACCACATCTTCTTTGTCCATTCATCTGTTGATGGACATCTAGGTTCTTTCCATAGTTTGGCTATTGTGGACAGTGCTGCTATAAACATTCGAGTGCACATGCCCCTTTGGATCACTACATTTGTATCTTTAGGGTAAATACCCAGTAGTGCGATTGCTGGGTCATAAGGTAGCACTATTTTCAACTTTTTGAGGAACCTCCATGCTGTTTTCCAGAATGGCTGCACAAGTTTGCATTCCCACCAACAGTGTGGGAGGGTTCCCCTTTCTCTGCATCCTTGCCAACATCTGTTGTTTCCTGACTTGTTAATTTTAGCCATTCTGACTGGTGTGAGGTGGTATCTCATTGTGGTTTTGATTTGTATTTCCCTGATGCCAAGTGATGTGGAGCACTTTTAATGTGTCTTTTGGCCATCTGGATGTCTTCTTGGCAGAAATGTGTGTTCATGTCCTCTGTCCATTTCTTGATTGGATTATTTGTTTTTGGGGTGTTGAGTTTGATAAGTTCTTTATGGATTTTGGATACTAGCCCTTTATCTGATATGTCATTTGCAAATATCTTCTCCTATTCTGTCAGTTGTCTTTTGGTTTTTTTGACTGTTTCCTTTGCTGTGCAAAAGCTTTTGATCTTGATGAAGTCCCAATAGTTCATTTTTGCCCTTGCTTCCCTTGCCTTTGGTGATGTTTCTAGAAAGAAGTTGCTGTGGCTGAGGTCAAAGAAGTTGTTGCCTGTGTTCTCCTCAAAATTTTGATGGATTCCTTTCTCACATTGAGGTTCTTCATCCATTTTGAGTCTATTTTCATGTGTGGTGTAAGGAAATTGTCCAGTTTCATTTTTCTGCATGTGGTTGTCCAATTTTCCCAACACCATTTGTTGAAGAGACTGTCTTTTTTCCATTGGACATTCTTTCCTGCTTTGTCAAAGATTAGTTGACTATAGAGTTGAGGGTCTATTTCTGGGCTCTCTATTCCGTCCCACTGATCTATGTGTCTATTTTTGTGCCAGTACCATACTGTCTTGAAGATTACAGCTTTGTAATTGAGCTTGAAGTCTGCAATTGTGATGCCACCACCTTTGGCTTTCTTTTTCAACATTCCTCTAGCTATTGGAGGTCTTTTCTGGTTGCGTATAAATTTTTGGATTTTTTGTTCCATTTCTTTGAAAAAAAAATGGATGGCATTATGATAGAGATTGCATTAAATGTGTAGATTGCTTTAGGTAGCATAGACATTTTCACAATATTTGTTCTTCCAATCCATGAGCATGGAACATTTTTCTATTTCTTTGTGTCTTCCTCAGTTTCTTTCATGAGTACTTTATAGTTTTCTGAGTACAGATTCTTTGCCTCTTTCGTTAGGTTTATTCCTAGGTATCTTTTATGGTTTCAGGTGCAATTGTAAATGGTATCAACTCCTTAATTTCTCTTTCTTCTGTCTTGTTGTTGGTGTATAGAAATTCAACTGATTTCTCTGCATTGATTTTATATCCTGATACTTTACTGAATTCCTGTACAAGTTCTAGCAGATTTGGAGTGGAGTCTTTTGGGTTTTCCACATATAGTATCATATAATCTGCAAAGAGTGAGAGTTTGACTTCTTCTTTGCTGATTTGGATGCCTTTAATTTCTTTTTGTTGTCTGATTGCTGAGGCTAGGATTTCTAGTACTATGTTGAATAGCAATGATGATAATGGACATCCCTGCCATGTTCCTGACCTTAGCAGAAAAGCTCTCAGTTTTTCTCCATTGAGGATGATATTTGCTGTGGGTTTTTCATAGATGGCTTTGATAATATTGAGGTATGTGCCCTCTGTCCCTACACTTTGAACATTTTTGATCAGGAAGGGATGCTGTACTTTGTCAAATGCTTTTTCAGCATCCATTGAGAGTATCATATGGTTCTTGTTCTTTCTTTTATTAATATATTGTATCACATTGATTGATTTGGGGATGTTGAACCCACCTTGCAGCCCAGGAATAAATCCCACTTGGTCATGGTGAATAATCCTTTTAATGTACTGTTGGATCTTATTGGCTAGTATTTTGGTGAGTATTTTCACATTTGTGTTCATCAAGGATATTGGTCTGTAATTCTTTTTTTTTTTTTTTTTTTTTGATGGGGTCTTTGTTTGGTCTTGGGATCAAGGTAATGCTGGCCTCATAAAATGAGTTTGGAAGTTTTCCTTCCATTTCTATTTTTTTGGAACAGTTTCAGGAGAATAGGTATTAATTCTTCTCGAAATGTTTGGTAGAATTCCCCTAGGAAGCCGTCTGGCTCTGGGCTCTTGTTTGTTGGGAGATTTTTGATGACTGCTTCAATCTCCTTACTGGTTACGGGTCTGTTCAGGTTTTCTATTTCTTCCTGGTTCAGTTTTGGTAGTGTATACACCTCTAGGAATGTATCCATTTCTTCCTGATTGTCAAATTTGCTGGCGTAAGTTGCTCATAATATGTTCTTATAATTGTTTGTATTTCTTTGGTGTTAGTTGTGATCTCTCCTCTTTCATTCATGATTTTATTAATTTGGATCCTTTCGCTTTTCTTTTTGATAAGTCTGGCCAGGGGTTTATCTTATTAATTCTTTCAAAGAACCAGCTCCTAGTTTCATTGATTTGTTCTACTGTTGCTGTTGTTGTTGTTTTTAATTTCTGCTCTGATCTTTATTTCTCTTCTCCTGCTGGGTTTAGGCTTTCTTTGCTGTCCTTTCTCCAGCTCCTTTAGGTGTAGGGTTAGGTTATGTATTTGAGACCTTTCTTGTTTCTTGAGAAAGGCTTGTATCACTATATATTTTCCTGTCAGGACTGCCTTTGCTGTGTCCCACAGATTTTGAACAGTTGTGTTTTCATTTTT